AACAGAAATTTATTTCTGACAGTTCTGGAAGCTGGGAGGTCCAATTTCAAGGCCTCAGCAGATTTCATGCCTGGTAAGGGCCCTTTTCTGGGTGGCAGACTGCCAACTTCTCATTGTGCCCTCATGCCGTGGGAGGGGAGAACTAGTTCTCTTGTGACTCTTTTATAAGGGTGGTCATCCCAGTCATGAGGATGGAACCAAACTCCTCACTTTCTAATATCACTTTGGATGTTAGATTTTGACACGTGAGTTTTGTGGGGGACACAAATCTTCAGACTATAACATTTCTGTGGTTGATGCTGGCTGCTGGCTGAGGGTCTAACTGGACCTCTGAGCTGAGACACTTATACTTGGGCTTCCTTACAACATGGCTGGGTTGCCAGGGCAAGCCTCCTGAGAAAGAGAGCGAACCAGGCAGAAGTTGTATCCTTTCTGTGACTGCATCTCAGAAAACTCATAACATCATTTCTATCTCATGGTATAATTCTGGAAATAAGTCACCAGAGTCCAGCCCATATGCAAGGGAAGTGAATTTAGATTCTACTTTTTGATAGGAGGAATGTATTACAATTTGCATTACATTTTTTAAAATGTGTCTATTGTGTAACAGCTTAGTTTTTCTTGCCTATCATGGCTGGAACCTTGGGTATGGAATCTGAAGGTATGATTTCAAGTCCTGTTGCTATATTTTCCTAGTGGCATGGGTGAATCACTTACTCTCCCTAATACCTGCTTATCATTCACTTGGTAGAAGAGATAACCCACCTCAGAAGATTAAAAGGGGGCAAATGAGGGTCACGTTTGTGAATATGTTTTGGTAACAAATACACATTATTTTATTTTCTTTCGATTCTACTCTCTTCTTCCTTGGGTTGAGTATGAGCAGAGAGGGCAAAAGTAAAGAGTGATGTATAACACCATATGATCAAGGAGAAATGAGCATGCATACAGATAGAATTCTCTTTAATTCTATGTAAATTAAAACATTTCTATCATAAATCACAAGGATACTTTTTGTAGGAAATAGCTACTACTTGGCTCGGCCCCTGTAGCTCAAGTGGCTAAGGTGCCAGCCACATACACCAGAGATGGCCGGTTCGAATCAAGCCCTCACCTGCCAAGCAACAATGACAACTACAACCAAAAAATAGCCGGGC